TCTCCTCCAAGCTACCGGGGACTAAAATGAAACATAGATGAGGTTCAAGATCGAAAGTTTTTACTTGAAATCATGAGGGACTAAAGTGAAAATTTTTAACAAACTCGGTTTGAAAGAGTGAAATGCACAACGCAAGTGGGTGAACAGTGTGAATAAATAGTGAGAATGAGTATGTGTGAACACAAGATGAACAACAAAAGGCCAATGTGTTTTTGTATTTGTGTAATGTCGAAGAACTAAGATATCAAAAGTAACCATAGTTTATAATCATTACAACTTTATATAAAAAAAAAAAAAGCTAAAGTAAAACGTAGTTTTACTATTCATTTTTACTATTTGAAATACTATTCACACACTCGATAAATCATTATTTCTTTCGCTATTCATGTCATTTTTTTAGTGCTTTGGTTCTCAATTTTTGTATACTTTTTTTTTTCAATTTCAAACTTTAATTGTATTGTAATTTGATGCCATTTTGTTTTAGTGTTTTCTTTTAACTATTTTTGTTGTTTAAAATTTACTACTTTAATTTGTCATTTTTTTTTAATATAGTCATATGTTATTAATATTATGATCATATTATGATAATATTATTTTTCTACACTAAGCATTTACTATTTATTTATTTATTTTTGAATTAAATAATTAAAATAATATTTTGGCTTAACCACTAAATGATTCAAATTAATATTTTTTTATTTTAATATTATTCTTTTTTTTTTGTAAATAAATATATAAAAATTAAATTCATATTTTTTTCAAAAATTAATATTCTCATCAATATTAAATAAAAAAAATTATTTGCTCAATTCCATGTAAGCTTTTAATAAATTTTATTTATGTTTTTTAACATAATCTTATAAAATACTAAAGCTTTTTAAAAAAAATTATTTAATTTTTTTTAGTTAATAATCCATGGATTAACAATGATAAATTTTTTTTTAAAGAAAAAATTATGAAAAACATAAATAAGAAATAGTTAAATATAAAATTTTTGATTAAAAAATTATAAATATTTTTTTATTTTTGATTTCATATATTTTTATAGATTTACACCATAAAACAAATTATCAAACTGAAATAATTTCTCTAAATAATTTTTTATATTTTATCAAACATGCGAGTGTAACGCTGGCAAAAAAAAAAAAAAAAACTAGTTTTTATACTATTTAATGTTATCTTTTAATTAAAAATTTTTTCTTTTATTTTTTTCTATTTCTTTAACTTATTTTTTTCAATTTTTTTATTTTTTAGAAATTAATTTATTAATCTTATTCATATCTTTCTGTTTTATTTTTTATTCTTGGTTTTTTTGTTGGAGATTTTTTTATATTATTATTTCAATGAAAATGAACTCCCATTCTTTGTGTAGTAATTGTTATAATTGTGGAACTTGCTTCCTAGAAAGAGGAAGTCATTAGAAATCTCAGAAACTAAAGGTCTTGGTTAAATTTTAAAACTGTAAATATGTATTAAAGAAGAATAAAGAAGGCTGTCACATGATATTTCATCGAATAAATGGAGAAGTTAGATTCTAACCACATGTTTATGTTTAATTAAACATTCTAATTGGTTTTTGACACATACGAGATCTCAAAGTATTACCAACAAGTTGGGCAGTGGCAAGCGCGCCGCACTGGTTAAAAAAAATAATAATAATAAGAAAAAATCTCAAAGTATTTGTAGTGTCAATTCCAATTTAATCTATCTTCACTCTTTAAAGACATTGGTGGAACGGCGTTATACATACCACATCACACCAGTTTATGATAGCGATAGTAATTAGTAAGATGATTTTTTTTCTTTTATTTTTTCAATGATAAATATTTCAAAGGATCTTTATGAACACTATCGTTTTTTCTCAATTAAAGAGGTTTTTTTCCTCAACTATGGTAGTTGTTTTCCTTCTTTATAGTGCAATGAGACGCAAATCTTAACTTGCTTAAAGTATTCCAAGAGTACATATCTTTCAATAATACTGCAATCGTTAGGCAACTTAAACCAAAAAAACTTATGAATCATGTAATATGACTCGTGACGTTGAATTTAGAAATTAATTTATTTTTATTTTTATTTTGGTGTGGGGGGTGGTTGACATGACGGATATAGTGATGCTAGTTGGTATACGCGTGAACAATTGGGCCTACACAATTTTATTTCTAAAGTAAAAAAAGGTATTTTTAAGTTTTGTTAATAGAAGATTACTATTCTTTTTAATAACAACCCAAAATCATTGTTCATGTAACACAATTAGAATATTAGTTAAGTGTGTGTAATCCACCTTATAAACTTTTATAACTATTACCAATTAGAAGAGTTCGAATAAAAGGAAAAAAAAGGATTAAAAATAATTTATACGAAAACCAATTACATATCAAAGGTTTTTTAAAGAAAAAAATTGCCAAGGACGTGTGCATGTGTGTAGTTTTCTTTATATATATACATATACAAAAGAGTAAACGTCCTTAAGTACGTTGAAAAACAAAGACTAATCTTTCAAAAAAAAAGAAAGAAAGGAAGGTCAAATAAGAATGGGTGTTTTAGTAATTTAAACATATATTTAAGCATTCTACTGTTTTTTTTCTCAGAAAAAAAAAACAGTAAATAATATAGGTGATGTGTTGTTCTAATATGCGATGATATGTTGTCTATATGCACTATTAAATCAATTTAAATAATCAATTTCAATTAATTCAGCTGAACCTTTATTAATCTCAAATAATCATTGTCAATTCCATATTATTTAGTCAACTACGAATAACTAAATAATGAAGCATCTATACCAGTTCAATTGTCAATTCTAAATTTATCAACTCTCTCAACCAACATTGCCACCTCAACCATCAATTTTAAGAGAACCCTAAATAAATCTAAATTAAATCGCATAAATAAGCCCTACTCTAAATAGCCACTACCCTTCATTATTGTCGTCCACCACCACCTCGCTCATCTTCTTCACCATCATTCTTCACAATCATCACAATCTCAAAAACAAATAAAAGAGCAATCATATGATGAGTCACTATGGTAACAAGAGCAAGCACATAAAATAACAAAAATAATTTATATCAGCCTCTAAATCTTCTTTTTAATCTAGTTATATGGTCTTTCGGACTCTAATCAAAATCCTGGCAATCAACTCTGAATCCACAGTTGAAAACCATAAAAAAAAAAAAAAAAACCTTTTAGATTTCAAATTTGGATGAAAAAGAAAATGAATTGTAACAATCCGCGAAGTACTCACCATGTTGCATCCTTTATTAATGTTGGCAACGGCCTCCACTATTTCTTGAGTATATAAGTATGAAATTAGTCGATTCTCAATTCAGTTAATTTAATAGAGTCTCAAGATAATATTTCGTCACATATTAGAATGACTTATCATCTTTATTAATTATTATTATATATGTATTTTTTTGAAATTATTATTTTTTTATAAAAAATAAAATAAAATGTTTAAATAATGTTAAATATTCAAGTTAACGGTAAATGTTTTGATTGTAAGAGATAAAAGAGAAAGTATAACATTTGCATGGAACGCAATTATAAATTGACTAGAAAGGTAAGGTTGACTTCAGCAAAATAAGACTTTTTATAAGTTTTAATATGATTGATAGGTATGCATGTTTTTCAAGTAAGAAAATAATTTCTTATGATATATATATATATATATATATATATATATATATATATATATATATATATGATTGGTTTGTTTAATACTCTATGCATAAAAATTGGCTGGAAAATAATTTTGCTGAGCGGTAAAAAGAGTAAAAAAGGAAAAAGAAAAAGAGAAGAAGAGATATTATTTAAGCATTGAGCTAGTAGCCGGAGTAAGTCAGTCTCAATCCTTAAATTCCCATCTCTTCTCCAAACCGGAGACCTCTTAGATTACTAATAATGCTAATTTTAGGGAGTATTTCCTTGAATATCAAGTAGTATTTTAACTTATTTACAGTAAATAAAGAAAACAATAAACAAAAAATACTTATTGGTGCAGATCAAACGAGCAACAAAGGTGATGTTTAAAGCGATCGATGATGATGATAGAATCTGGTTTGCGGTCAAACAGGATTGTACCAATTGATCAAACAAGATCGGAGTCAAAAGAGTTAAGGTACTCCGAGTGAAATGCTAGTGCATACAATTATATATAAAGTGAGAAATCATTTCATTAATTTATTGCAGCCCAAATTAATTAATGCACTATTAATGGCATAATTTACCTTAAAATTATTATAATTGTGGTAAAATAAAGTTTATATTATCAATTTAAATTATTAATTTGAACTCTAAACTATTTCTTTTCAGTAAATTTTACTGTTTTTCGTTATATTTAACCATTAAAGTGTTAACTAAAAATGTTTAAAATAATGTTGTTTTATGCATTTTAGTTTTTTTCTTAAAATTAAAATTAATTTCAAAAAAATTATTAAAAATTCAATTCAACAACAAAAATCAGATATATAAAAAATAAAATTTTTTAATTTTTTAAAACTAACTCTTATTAAATATTTTTTAAAAAATTAATTTTAATTTTTTAAAAAATTAAAATAATTAATACGACATCGTTTTAAGTATTTTTCAGTCAAAAGTAAAAAAATTTGACTGTCAAACATAATAGAAAAAAAGATCAAGGTTATTCAATAATTAATAGTTTAAGATTTAAATAATTTAAATTGATAATATATATTTTATTTTATTTTATGAAGACACTCCTATTCTGGAAGTTAATTATGTCATTAAACCCTTTTTTATTTCAAGTCAAAATTATCTGTACCCCCGTAGCAACAACGTGTCTGATTCTCGTGGGTAACTAAAAGCCTTGCTTTCTCATGCTTAATAATTACCACGGTCCTGTCTGTATGGAAAGAAAAAAATGGAAAAGAGAAATACTACTCTCCAACAAATCATTGCTACGTAATCGATGCTACATTAAAAAAGTCAACGTACAAATTTCTAATTTTCCATTTCATATATCAGAATTCCAAATTCCTTCAAAATAATCTCCTGGACTCCAAGAAATTCTTCATCACGGGCTCACAAGATGATATATACTCAAGAAAGGTAGCAAAATCAGTATCTTTGTAGCGCCTTGGATTGGCCTCATCGATGAGTTTAGGGCATGGCCTGATCATGCACTTAAAGGGAAGACTATGCAAAGAAGCCACTGAAGTGCGTGCCTTAGCTGAATTTACTAACACTCTATGCAGAACACTTTTGTACCTCCCGTTGCTAAAAATCTGATACAAATTAATTAAATAACCATTGATTAGTGCTCCACACACACACATATATTGATCAAAAAATGAAATTTTCTCGTAGATGTAACCCATTTTTTACTTAAAAACACGTACCTCAAGATGATCACCAACATTAACAACGAAAGAATTGGCAATTGGTTCAACTGTGACCCAATTTTCCTTGTGCTGAATTTGAAGACCCTTAACCTCATCTTGGAGAAGAAGCGTGAGGAATCCATAATCGGAATGAGGTGGTATTCCTAACGTGAGATCAGGCTCAGGGCATGGAGGGTAGCAATTGACAACCATTAGCTGGCTCCCATCTTTCAAATCCTTCATAATTTCATCATCACTTTTTCCCCCACTCTTCTCCTTGGGGGCCCCTAATAGGCTCTCTAGGATGGCCTCCATTATTATAAGAAACAAGTATTTGGTCTCTTTTGCATAACTAGCCGCCAGTTTTCTGTTTAAGCATAAAACAACATTTGGTAAATATAATTGGTCATTATCATTCAAAGTCATTGTATATATGGAGAAGTAATCTGGTGCAGTTCTAATACTTTAATTATTTTAGAAAAACTCAGAAGTTACTGTCTTTAATTAAGTAATTAATTAAGGAAAGATTCATTAATTTTGTCAACAAAACAAAAAATGTTCACGGGGAGAGAAAGGTTAAAAACATATTCAATACTTGATTAACTCTTACCTGAAATCCATGGGAGAAGAAGGCCAATAAGTAAGTACATCCGGTAATGGGTGGCACATTAGCTTCAAGAAATCTCTCCAACAAAACACATTATCTTTGTTTTGGTTAAAGCTAGTTCCATATCTAACTGGTGCATGCATATCGGATGACATATACTTGGATCTTTCCTCATAAGGGAGCTCGAAAAACCTTGTTGATACATCGATCATGCTACTGATAACATCGGTAGGAATTCCATGATTTACCAACTGCATTGATCCATACAAAAATATAAGTAATTGATTTTCTCGTTTACCATTTTCCCGATATATTGTTTATATGAAGCCTGAAGGGGACTTAATATATATATATATATATAAGTAAGTAAGTACGTACCTGAAAAAAGCCATATTTCTCGCAAGCATTAGCTAGGTTCTTAAGGACTTCGGGCCGGTTTTGTCCTTGCAAGTCAGCAAAATCAATTACGGGCAACTTTAGATTTTGGTTAGCCACACTGGTAGGTTCTGCCTGATTTGTATTTGGTCGTTCTTGAACAGGTAATATGTACTTGTTAGGAACTTTGCTGATGCCATTCTGGCATAGTTGCTTAACTCCCTTGTGGTATGATTGGCTGTCTAAGGCATGATATTCATTTCCCACGGTCACTGCCATTGCAGGACTCATGAATATAATTGGGAATAAGAAAAAATGAGGAGGACGGGGGAGGGGGTTCAGGGAAATACACAGCTAGCTTCTTTAGAGTTTGAAAAGCAGAGAACGATAATATAATTCAGTGGGAATAATTGAGAAAGATTAGGTGATTTATATAGGAGAGGAGAAACCATTTATAAACAGTAGAAGTTTCATAGAAACCGGTTTCGGGTTTGTGAATCCCTAGAAGGACCACTGACTATTTCTATTTCTATTACTGGAAAACCGTTGACAAATATGGAGTCAAGAGCACGAGAGGGTAGGGAGCAGACTTCTTCTCTCCAGTCCATTACTACAAAAAACCCTTCAAAAACGTTGTCTAGTTTTCTGGGGTCCCCTTGATGTTGAAGCCACCTCTTTGTTTCATTATAACTATAATAATCTAAAGGCAGGATACCATGGCTGACTTTTTGCCTCCTGATAATATAGTAGCTGGGCTCCTACCTTTGTCATCTTGGGTCGTTCTTACCTTTTGTAACTTATTCTATTTTATTTATTTATTTTTGAGAAGGTTGATAATATCTGCCTAATACTTGCTAGTTATTTAATTGTTTTACCTTTTCAAATCTTCTTTGAGTGCATGTTTAATTATCACGAATGAGTTAATTAGTATATAGAGTGTTTATACTAAACACTATAACAAATTTGTTAAATAACGATGGATAACGGTCATCAAGCCGACAATAAACGAGAGATTAAATCGCATCAAATTAGCTTGTGATACATTTAACGATGGAATAGAGATCGATTTACAACTAATTATCATAGATGGATCAATTTTCATCATTAAATATGGCATCAAAACTATTTGGGAGTTTTAGCGATGAATTAGAGACGGATTATCTATAGAAAATAGCGATGAGATAATAATACCATCGCTAAAATTTTTTGGCTCCAAGCGACGGCTAAGATAGGTCGCTAGTTAGCAATGGTAATATTCTCATCGCTAAATGTTGAATTTTTGGACGGCCTTTGAAAATTCAAAGGCCGTGCCAAACATCACTATTTACTAACGGACAACGATGGCCGTCACTAAATAGTGACGAATCGATGACGGGAACGTTCCTATTGCTGATATGCTATCCTTTAAATCTAGGCAACAGCCCCTCCCCTTGATTTTTCTCCCATTTCTCTTCCTCCTTAAGTTGCCGCTCCTCCCCCAATCCCTCAAAACCTTTAGAAAACTCCCCGAATCCCCTCGATCCCCATCAATCCACACCCTCTTCAAACTCGGTTTCTCTTAAAAAATTCAGTTTTTTCTTTCATCATTTCGGCCAATTTAACCCAAATTAGATAAGTTTTTTTTTATCTCTTTTATTTTCTTAATTAAAGTTAGTAATTTATTGTAATTGTTCGGTTAATTTTAAGTATAATTGCTTGATTTATAATTGTGTATATATTGAATTGTTAGTTTGTTGATTTATTTGTTAAATTGTTAATTTTTGTTAATTTGTTAGGTTAATTTGTTGATTAATTTATTGAATTGTTGAATTTTGTTAATTGTTATGTTAATTTATTAGTTAAATATAATTTAAATTTAATCGGAATTAATTCATAATTAATTAAGTTTATTTTATTTATGTTTAGTTAATTAATTAGGTTAATTATGTTTAATTAGTTGAATTAGAATAAATTAGTTAATGTAATGAAAGAAATGGTAATAATAGTAGAATTATAGAGAAATATGATAAAAAAATAAATTCAGCATAAAATAAAATGAACACAAGAGATAACAACTCCAACTAATTCTCTCAATCTCTACAAAATACTTGTCAACAAGATAATGAACAATCAAGTCTATTTATAGGTTTCAAGATTAGGAAGAGAATTGGAAAATACTATAAACTATTAAGGATGCATAAATAATTAAATCAATTACATCACCCTTTCAATTCCTCATATTGAATGGTGAATTGAATCACATTAAGAATAATGAGTAGAATTAAAAAGAAAGGTGATAGAAAAATAAATTCATATTAAAATAAAATAAATATAAGAGATAACAACTCTAACTAATTCTCTCAATTTCTACAAAATACTTGTCAATAAAATAATGAACAATCAAGTCTATTTATAGGCTTCAAGATTAAGAAGAGAATTGGAGAAGACTATAAACCATTAAATAATTAAATTAATTATATTGCCCTTTTAATTTCTCATATTGAATGGTGAATTGAATCACATTAAAAATAATAAGTAGTGAGAATATGAAATGAACATTCATTATTTCATAACTCTTCTTCGAATGTCCATTGTACAAGAAACATGCCTTGTTAAAACCTTACTAGAAAAAATCCAATGAAAAAAAATCCTAGTGAAGGAAAAAAAGTACAATATTTCTTATACATATTAGTCTTTATGTTAGGCTCCTCCTATTGAAAACATCATTTAAGATCTTTAAGACCACGCCTATCTTGCAAACCATTTTCTTAAAAATCATGAAAGATAATGCCTTAGTGAACAAGTTCATTAGATTGTCGGCTTGACGTATTCTTTCTTTAATTAAATTATACAAGCATCATTATCTTCATATGATATTATTGAAACTTTTTTTTGGTATATAAATCGTATGTCTCTTGGATCCGATGGATTATTGATCTTAGCCAAATATATTCTTGACTTGCCTCATGAATTGGTATTTCGAGTATCATTTAAATCTGCAATAGTTATTGTTTGCTTCATAGAACATCACGATATAGTCTGTATCATTATACGTAAATGCATAACTCATTTGTGATCAAGTTTTGTATGAATCAAATAAATAACCTACTTCTACATAACCTATTAAACTTAACTTTGATTTATTTGAGTAAAATAAATACCATGTTAACTTTTTCTTGAAGATAATGTGGAAAATGTTAATTCCATTCTAATATCTTCGTATTGGAGCAAAACTATGTCTTGAGAAAAGACTATATCGAGCCAAGTATTATTAGTAAGGTATATCAATGCATCGATTGTACTAACATATGATATTTCGGGACCAAATAATTCTTTGTTATCTTCAGAGGCCAAAAAAGAGTCTTTTTGGATATCAAGCTAACAAACTACTATTGAGCTAATAAATGGATGAGCTTTATATAGAATAATTATAGAAATTTTTTTATATAAATTGATCGATAAACAAAAATCTCATTCTCTATATGCTTGAATTGCAAGTCGAGATAAAAGTTTGTTTTCACACGGTATTTTATATCAAATTCTTTTTTTGGATAACTTATGACACTTGGAATCTCTTCAAAAATTTTAATAATATTTAATTCATTAACATATACAACAATTATCACAAACCTCTTTCTGAATTTTTTCTATAAAAATAAATGAACAAATATGGTTATTTTCATAATTTTTTTCAATAAATATTTATTGAAGAGATTATACCACATTTTAGTCGAGTCCGTAATAAATAGTAGGTATTTCTAAAAAATATAGCATAAATTAAATTTCTAAAAAATAAAATAATAAAAAATACTAAAATAATCTTGATAGAAATCTCTATATTTTAATGAAATTTATTTTTTAAAAATATGTATTATATGCTTCGGACATCTTAAGTCCTTCTAGAACTTTTATATAAATATCATTTTAAGTGAATAAATAAGTTATGATCACATTCATTAAATGCAAACATATGAAGTTTATATATATATATATATTTCCAGGCTAATGAGATAACGAAATGTAATTGCATCAATTATAGGAGAATGTGTCTCATTATAGTCAATGTTAGATCTTTGCAAAAATCTTGTGTTACAAGTCTTTCTTTATATCTAATAATCTTATCTTCCTTTTTTCGTTTTCATAGAAATACCCATTTGTCTAGATTATTCTTTTCATTCGGACCAATCATCTCTATATCAACATTCTTCAATAAATTTAGGCTCGGAATCCTTATTTTTCATTCAAAATATCAATTACAAAATTATATGCAAAAATCTTATCGATAAATGTTTCTTTTTGGTCCTATTTTCTCTATGTATTATCATAATTTATAAAAGTCTCTTGATTTTTCTCAAGCATTTGGACTTCTTCCGAAGCCTATTATAAAAAATATCTTGGATCATTTTGTGAATATTTGCATCATTTATATTTTCATCTTAATTATTTGTCCTTTTCTTTTGAGGATTTTTATCTTTAGAACCGATCGGTCTTTCACACTTCGGGCGTGCTCTAAATTCATTTGCTATAACATTAATAGATTGTTCTTCTTAAGACTTCAATTCTAATAGGAGCATTCTCGGTTGGGCTATGCATTTTAGTTACTCTTTTTGGATTTGAGAATGCATTTGATAGTTGGTTTGCAATACCCGATAAAATAATTATCTTCCGAACTTCTAGTTCTTATTATTTTGTATAAGGATCAAGATGAAATAAAGATGGAGTACTCCATGTAATCCTTTTTTCAACATTTTCAAATGCTTATTTTGCTTATTCTCTCACCCTAATATTAAAAAAACTATTTTATCAAAATAACGAGTTTATAAATAGGCTCGTAAAAATATCTCATGTTCATGGGTCAAGATTTTTAATTATAAAAAAAGATTCAAATCCAACATATATTTTCAATCTCCTTTAAGTGTCCATTTTATTTTATTATGGGTCAGCACTAGAGATATATACTTGGACATCTAAAAATTCTTAAATGAGAAATATTTGATTCATGACTAAAAACCAATTCAAGAGGGAAAAATTTCTAATAACTTATGAGTCCGATACGAATAAATATTACTACATATAAGATTGCATGCCCTTAAACACAAACAGAGAGTTTTGTTTTCATAAGTAATAGTTTAGTTATCAATTGGAGCTTTTTGATAAATGATTCTGCTAAACCTTTTTAATTATGAATATGAGTAACATGTTATTCAACCTTTATTCAAATAGCCAATCAATAATCATTCAATACTTGAGAGATAAATTCACTAACATTAGTAAGGTGAAGTTTTTTAATGGCATAATCTAAAAATTATGCT